AGGCCAACATCGAGAGGAGCCCGATCACGCGCTGAATGCAATAAAGCGATCGAACAGCGAACGTTCTCGCTCGATATCTCGTTCGAATTCCTTTCTTTTGTAAACTCGAGCTGGAAGAGTAAGAGACAGTGAGAGGGGAGGAAGGGAGGATGAAACGAAGAAAAAGGATGAAAGATAGAAGAAAAGGGATCGAGCAAATGAAGATTTCCTTTTTTTTTCCAATAAGAAGCTATTATCGGGTCAGGGATTAATTAGCCTTATTCGAGAATACATTCCCCGCAACGAAATCGTTGTCAGACGTCGTTCTGGAATTTTCCGCTTTCCTCCAGAACATCGAGCTTCCAGTGTATATGACTTATTCGATGACTTTGCGCGCGGATGTATCCGATTCGCGGAAAAATTAGCAAGTGAATGTGAGAAAGTTTCGCCGACCGGGCTGAAAAGACTTTTTCTTTAAAAGGTTTACGATGATAATACAATGAGCACAAAGGAGTATACGAAGTGGTAGAAGATTAATTATCAGGCGGGTGGGTGAGAACGTGATGGTTAAGGAAATTCGAAAAAGTTGCGGGCATGAAACGGAAGTTTGAAAACCGAGTGTTTCCTGTAAATGAAGGCATTATGTGGGAAGAAAGGTCTTTTATACCGAGGCAGAGTGAAAGAGAAGAAAGATGAATTAAAGATTGCATCGAAATGTACATCAACATCAGCGGGGGGAGAGAGCTAACGATAAACGAGAAGCAGAAAGCAGCGCAGAAACGTTGGAAAGCAGGGGAATAAAACGGGTGGGAAGATGTTGGCGTAGCGTATGAAGCGAATTAATTAAAAGGAGGAGAGAAAAGGAGGGAAAATTGGGTGGAAAGTTCTTAGAAAGTGATGGAGCCTCTAACTGAGATAAAAATAAACTGAAAATCGAGCGAAAACGCGAACGAATGAAACGAGTCTATGAAACGCGGTGAGTTTGAGCAAACGCTGAAAGAACCTAATGCATCGTGTAATGTGAAAGATAACCTCAGGAATAAAAGCGTGTATGGTTTAAAGGAATACTTGCATTAATGCGAAAGGGAACCTTGATTTTTCTTGGCAAGAATAACTGAGGTAATGTATCCGCGTGAGGAGAATTCTTTGGCCCATTTGGAGGAAAGTGAGCTGTTTTTAATTTAAAAATAATATTTTAATTATTCGAAATATTGAGTGAAAGATAGGTTATTTAGATTGCATACGAATATAATTCGTTCAAAGACGATTAGTTCGTTACTCGAGTTGTTCGTTAATTGATTATATTTTTGAAATATTTACGAAATATTGGAATACGTAGATTAATATATTCAAACAGAAATTTTAGAAATTAATCTTATCATTTAGTCAAACAGTCAGTAGTAGATACTTTATTATATTATAAAATTATTATTATCTTATGTCATTTCTTCTTCGGCTATGAAATAGATACCAGTCGTTCAACGAAAGAGATTTAATCTGAATTTTCAAAATCAAGATCAACTATACAGTTCCATAAGTTCGCAACATATCATGTATCCTTCGATCGTTCGTATTCTCTCACTAAAGTGAAAAAGAAAAAATATATATAATAAACTCCTCGCGTATAAAGTGTGAATTAAACGACCCGGCCATTTATAAATCTCACCAGTTCATATTCAAAGGCTATTGCATTTCGTGCACATGCCTCCCCACGCCTTGTTCAACGCCAACTGACTCCGCAAAACCACGCATAACTACAAAACAAAACGCAATTACCATTACCGTGAGCGTGATCGCGATCCCAACCCGTGAGATCTCCGGTGTCACCAGGCCAACCGGTGGATCCGCATTCAAGCGAAATCCCGAAAATCAGTTCTACGAACGGCTCGTTCGACCGCGTGCTTTAACGACCGTTTCCTCTCACAGCCGAGCATTCTGTTACCGGCTCGCGCAGATAATTCAATCTTCTAATTAAAAGCGCCCACACATCCTCGCGGACGACCTGTTTCAGGCTCTGAGCTCGGGGTTACAGATCGCAGAGGGGGTTAGAGGTCGTTCGCTAGGCTGAAGACATACACGCGACACGATAACACTACGTAACGACGTCCCTGTTCATTGTCCTCGCTTTGAATCGAGACACGTGGTTCCTCGACAAAAGGAACTCGGATTTTACGAAGCGGATCTCGCCACAGACGTCGGTATTCCTCGTAATAGATGTTATCCTGTTTTATCGCGTAGATTTTTACTTAAATTCTTTATCCTGTTTTACCTTCGTAGATTATCTGTGTCGAAAATAATATTTAGAATGAGCTGAGCTGCTCTCGAGCTTATTTCGCGTAAATATAACTGTATTTATTAGGCGTGAATGTTTGTATCTTGATTGCGCCGACATTTAATTTTTACAAGCACGAGTTAATAAGAAAGAGACTACAATTTCACAGTGGGTGTTCGTGAGATTTTATACTTTTTCTGATCAACTAAACTAAAGAAATGGAATCCGAATAAAAGAACTCTGCCCTTAAATAAGTCACTTCAGATTTTTTTACATATCATACACGTGTTTTCTAGATTTCTCGAATCTTACATTTTCCAAAGTATTTGTCTCGAACGGAAAGTTTAATTTCGCCTGGGATAAAAAACTCGGTAGAACGACAACTAGCGTCCTCTTTCGCGTAATTTCATCGCGTTGCCGCGAATTTCATCGGATCGTTAATTGAAGGTACAACGGGGGTCGACGAGATGTCCCGCAACCCGAGGGAAGTCGATCGTATCATTTCCATCGTTGGCGAAGTTCTATCCGGCGCGCCTTCTGTCGTTTCATTTCGCCGGCAAGGAAAATATTGGCAAAGTTTTCGACGGGAACGCCGCGTCCCTCTCTCGCATAATCTCTCGCGGACGATTAGATAAGCGAACTTAATAATTGATCTCCCGCCTTTCTGCCAGCCTTCGACGAGGGAAAACTGAAGTGGAGGCCGCGTCAGTGACCAACGTGGGACTTCCCTTTCGACGAAATTAAATTCCCACGATCGATACGCGAAATGAATTTGCCAGAGTCTCGCGCGCGCGTCTCGATTCGACCAACAGGCTTAAAAATCGTGTCACGCTCGAAATTGAATTTTTTCCTCGGCACTCGAATTGATATTCTTATATCCTTTGTTTGTCGTTCCAAGTTTCCCGGATTCGATTGCAGCAACCTCGGTTAACGCGGACTTTTGTTCAATATATCTGATAGGGGAGGGAGGGGAGAATATGCTTGTTGAATAAAACTAAGCTTGAAAATAACTAAGCTCGTAATTGCCAGAATTTTCGTTGGCATTGTAGACGTTAGATATAAAAGTGTTCGAACTTTCGATGGAAACTTATCTTTGAAACTCTATTTCAAAACTTTTATAACTTTGTGAAAGAAGAACATCGTACAATGATTTATCCGGATTCATCTTAAAGCGTTAAAGCCTCTACTTCACTGAATTTCTATGAAAGATACTTTGCAGTGAACGGTAAAGTGCGAGTGCTGTTCTTCGAAAAAATTCGAACATCCGTAACAATTTTTTTATGGCTGTGTCCTTCGCTCAAATGCTTTCGTTCATTTTGAAATAAATTGTAACGACGACGTGAAAGATGTGTACGAAGAATTTAATCGGAACAAAGGAGGAAATAGGTTTGTAAGTCGCTTAAAATTTGCTGTTTCTTAAGAGGATCATTTCTATGAACCACACGTTCAACAATGACACAGTTTAACATTGAAACTTTCACTGTTTAATCTAGCTGAAAGTCTGCCGGTAACACGAGTCTTAAACTCGAGGCAACAGTTAAGTGAATAATTTAACGTGGAACGCGGAAAGTTTGTACATTGTCAAAGAGTTTCGTTGTTCTGTGCTGGCGAAGACGTCAATCTTTATTAACTAACCCTTTTCGAAATCGAGTTTCCTTGAAATTCCCCGAATCTTTTGCTTACAACGTGCCTTTCAAATAAATTACACTTCGGCAGTCCCTTTCGTCCGCGTCAATGCGACTTTGCAATCAATTGCTTTCGCGTCAGTCTCGTGACACTGTGAAACGACCAGCGACTCTTGATTTTACAAACAAATTAAAATCGCCGCTGTCGTTGAACAAAGTCTTCAAGATTCCTCAACTTTTCACGATCCCGTTGAAATTTAATATATAAGGGATTCTCCTGCAATGAGAACTTTGTCAACGCAGCAGCAGAGTATTGCAAATAAGTTGCAAACGAGTGAGGCAAGCCTTCGAGTTTCCAGATTTCGGGGAAAAAAGTGAAATTTTCCCTTAGGCAATAAACCTCGAAGCTTCTAAGTTCCTTGGGATTAAAAATTAAATCAAATAGATGAAAGAATTTCCTCGGCGTGGTAGTTGCAGTTTCGTAGGGAAAAAATTACGCGAAGTTACAATTTCGCAGTGGATCAAAATACAAAAGGTCCTCGGGGATGATCCCCGTCCTGTTTATCCGTGCAAATCAAACTAGACCGACTGGCTGGCAATTATCGAACAGCTGTCGGTGGTGTCAATGTCTAGCGTGGTAACCGTGTTGCAGTTGCGCAAACTTTCGAGCCCTACGGGCCAGAATTCCTGCACACCCTCGGCAAGAGCTCGTGATCGTCGGTAAACTTTACGACGTAGCGCGGAAACACGCTCGAATTTCCACGAAGAATACCAACAAGCTGACCCCCTCCTGGTTATTATACTTTCACGTTCTGGTTATTACGTTTGTCACGCCGGATTACTTCGCTACACGTTTTCGTTCTCCAACTTTTCGTTGTCGTTTTTTCCTTATTTTTCGTCGCAGCTCTTGTTAACTGGCATGGGAAACAAAATTTATTATAACACACTGTTTCTGAAGTTTTTAACATTCTCGAACATTTAATGCTCTTGATGAATCATTGATATTTTACGTGTAATAATTAATATTCATTTTAATACGTGAATGTAATACTTGATATTAATTCTGGCGATATTCGATGGAATCAAATAAAATAACTTAAGACTCGAATTATCTGCTTGAAATTAAATTATCAATTAGTTGTCAGTTATCGGAGATAGTAAAAGAGTGGTCTCCGGATCATTTCTTTTGTTTCAATCTTCGTTCGTTCTGGCTCTTTTATCTGTGTTGCTAACGGAGTTAATTATTATTTAGTTAATTATTGAGTTAATTATCATTTAGTTAATTATTGTCCAATTACGTCAGATGTAATGAAACCACGAATTATTGAGACTCACATCATTAGATAGAAGATTGAACTATCGATGACCGATTCGACATTAGTAACGAGAGTGTACTAATATGCTGTGGCTGAAATCTAATTTCGATTAGACAACCATTACAGACCAAATTTCCACAAATTAATTTACTGTCTCGATCGTCACTAAATGCTTCAATATTACTTTCTAATGAATCAAATTTCCATATGTAGATCGGAACATTTATCCGATCAGGATTTAGACTAGAAAATAAAGAGATTTATTTAAAACACTTTACCTGCAATTTGAATACATTTAGAAGATTTTCTGATTTCTTTTGGTGAAATATTTTTGTGAAATAATCCTTTTAATCTGTTCCAATTTCCGTAAATATCTCGTTCGATTTTACGAACACACAAATGTTACGTGTTACAAGTGTTTTATATACTTTATTATATTTGTATAAATCTCGTCTAATAAAATAACAATAAAATAATAATATACTTGATATTGACTATAAACATTCTATACTAGAACACAGTAAGAAATATATTTATATTTACAAGTACACAAGAAGAGTTGTCTAATAATGCAATAATGTAATATATTCGACATTTTTTATCAATATTATTTATGAACGTTAGAAATCTAAATTGGAATACCTGTAAGGAATATATATTTATTCGCCCGTGGAACAAATGCACAATGACATCACATACATTTTACAATTCGTTCGCCAATTTTCGAAAATCAAGTCACAGGTCGCACTGTCAAATGAACTTCGTTGAAGAAAATCACTCAAGCAGATAATTCTTCGACCGTTTTAATCACCCCGTTAGCCTAACTTTACGCGTAATCCCAGTGAGAACGATCGAACCTGTATCAGAGCACTCTGTCTTAAATCGCCCGTAAAGTGTTCTCGATAATAACGCAAAGTACACACCGTGACGACGAAGATGTTCGACAAAAAAAAAAAAAAGACTTATTAGCTAACTAACGCCGGGTAACTCGGTTTCGAAGCGTCGTCGAAGTTTGCTCGAAATCCCCGGGCACAAGTTGCACACTGTTGCTTACCAGACCTGATAAACTTCAGGAAGTTGCGAGCGGAAAGCCTGCGTCTACAATTATTTTTTTTTCTCCCTTCTTCTTTTTCTTCTTCCTCCTCCTCTTCTTTCTCCTCGTCTTCTTTCTCCTCAAGAAGAAACACCAGCTTGGAATTGTCTGTCGATCTAGCTACTATCAATTCAGTAGTAACGACAGACAAGAAAAGTTTCCTTACGAAGATTTCCCTGAAATCTGTAATTGTTCTGCGATCTGTGCGAGAGGAAATTTACTTTTTTCAATACGAGTTTCCTGTATTTCTCGTGACGTCCGTCATCATTTCAGAAGCGTGAGTTACTGTTCATACAAATCTTGCACTTATTTTGTAAATGATTCGCGGTGACTCTTCATTTCAGAGTCATTTAACTAAATTTTCTAACGACAACGACAGATTGATAAATAAATTTCCTTGCTAATGACCGATATAATGAGAAACAAACGGCAATGGAAAGATCTCGTTGCGTCCGAAATATTACTTTTTAAAGCGAGTTTATATAACGACTGGTAATTAATGTTGCAATAGATTGTTAATTAAACAAATTAATTGGAAGATAATCTATAATTGTAACAGTTATTGTGTCACAATTTGCAGTTTGGTACGAGCTGAAAATATGCGAAATATATATCGAGCAGTAACGTCATTTGAGGAACATTCTGTTACGTTTTACCACGCAGATCCAGCCATTTTAATTATCGAACTCTTCGATTGTCATGCACGTTTCATAATGTTACGGGAGCAATTTATTACGATGGTTATTTTAATTTCGAAATGGGGCATACATGCGATTGTTTTAGATACGAGCATCCCCAGTCGCGTGACGTGCCATTGTTTTCGCCCAAATTATCGCCGAATCAACGTCAATTCTAATTCAGTTGTTTCTCGGAGAAGTGAATTCTCGGCGAGGATGCATCAAAAATTTGCAAAATTTGATTTGAATTTAAATTCAAAGAAACGATTGACAAACTGATTTAATAATTTAATAGGCGATAATAATAAATTAAACGTAGCATAGCTTTTTTTAACGACTTTAAGATTTTTTTAATTAAAAAATTAAAAAATTGCAATCCTTTCGAGGAAATCATAAAATAAATAATGGTATTGCAAACGGTGGATTTATCGGTCGTGTCAAGAGTATCGGTTTCATCGGGCCATCGTACGCGATCCCATATTAATTAACAATCACATTAACGCGCGATATAGATTAATTTCCGGAAAGACGCGACCGATAGATGGACAATTAAACGTGATCCATAAATTGCTGTGGAAAATAAGCGACAGCCCATTAAATATCCTAATGAGACACGTTACGTTCGACAAAACGGTCGCATCATTATTACCAATAAAACAACGTTGCGTTTAATCGTAAAATAACGGAGCTTCGTCGCGGTTGGGATGTTCATCAATTTGATGAAATTCTGGAGATACCTCTGGCTGTTTATTTGGAATTGTGTCGCTGCCTGGTTCGATTGAATTCGATGCAGCTTTCAACGTAGATGAGCTTTCAAACTCTGTGTGCGAAACGTGCATAAAAGTAACATTTTTGTAAGTTTCAGAAAATTAATAAGAGATTTATATTTTCGATCTCTTCGACGAACCTTGGACTCTAGACTTTCGACACACGCATTTTATGTTTGCAAGTCAAGTGACAAATTCTAGGTATTCTTGAGAGTTTTGAAGCAATTTATTAAATTCATTCTGAAATCAACATTAAGACCTTCTATGTTATCTTATTTTCACATAACTCACATTTGTTGCCAACAACAACTCGCATTTCTCCGAAATATTCGCAACTTCTTGCAATAAATTGCGTAAATTGCGTAAAGTATTGAAGAGCAATTCAATTTAAATTCGTGAAATGTCAGAAAAGCCAGAGGATATTGATGAACGGAGATTGAAAGGAGACACGTGTATGCCGTAAGTAGATCGAGAGATCGATCGGAAATTTGATAATTCGTCGGACGAGCTTGTCGAGCGTGAAAATTGTTTGCCGGACGATCGTTGTTCGATATCTTGCGCGTTTACATTATTTCCTCGCCGGGAATCGGCATGCCGAGGCGGGACGGAATTTCCCAAAGCAATTCCTATGGATCTAATCAGGATTAGATTCGGTTCATACTGTTCCCCTTGTATTGATAGCGGATCGCTGGACGATAGACCAATCGGTGATGGGACAATCGTCAGTACAACAGCGTACTAATACAGGTGCTTCTGTCCGTCGATATATACCGCGTGGCGTTTCAAACGCCATTAACGAGAATCAGTTGAACGGTGGTTTGTTAAGTGACAGCCTTTTTCACTGAATTCCTCGCATCCGCGCGACAATGGCTATTTAACCCTGGTGAACCATCAAACGAAATGCGAAGTGAACGCGCGGATCAAATTGAAATTGCATTTCTCGGATTAGTATCTCGCGTTCTCGTGCCTTTTATCCGTAGGTATTAACAGTGGAACTGTTGTAGACAATTGGCAATAATAAGTGGAGGAAGTAGATAATTGTAGCTAAGTATAGGAATTGGTAAAAATTATAACAGTTAGTTAACTCTAGTTAAAAGTGACGAAGCTGTTCAAATGAATGAACTTACTTTCAGAAATTTATGGTCTCATACCATTCGCATGCCTTGCATTTTGATTTTTTTTTTTTTTTTTTTTTAATGCAGTTTTCAAATTTTAGAAGTT